TATTACTATTTACTAAAATTTTCCTTTAGGTTGTATGCATTAAAAGCTTCCAGAATATTTATGTGAAATTTCGGACATTATTATTATAAGTGTATTTTTCTTATTACTGATTTTTTCAGATTTCAAAAATATTTTTAATAGAATTTTATTCAAGTGAATAATGGTGTAAAGATTTAAAGTAAAATCACATTTAAAAACTTTATATCTTCAAAAATATTTTTTCATTATTCATCGACAATTTTTTGAAGTAAAACTATTTTATATTATATTAAATAAATTATTCTATGTTTTACCCACTGTTTTCATATGTAAAATACATTAAGAATACTGTAATGCAGTGAAAATATTCATCTAAGTTATATTTTAAAATAAAAATATCATCACCTCTCTTTAATATTTGTGTACACTGCACTATTTAAAGTCAGTAATCTACAAGAAAATTATTTATATCCAAATACAACAAAACGATTAAAGTCTAAACGTTTTCGTTGTTAGTTATGTGTTGGCATACCCCTTAACACGTGATAATAATCATAATTAATGTACTAGAAAAAAACAATATGAAATAGTGTTCGTTTTAATTCATAAAGTTTAATCTCAACAAATAATTGATGAAAAATTTCTTTTACACTCATAACATATTATTTTTGTTAGGATTTTTTTTATTAGAAAACTTTATACTAGTATTTGTATAAACAATTTTACTCGCGGCAGATCATCATTTAACTAATTTCTTTAATTGTCATTTTTAAGGAAAAAATAATGTTAAATATCAAATAAAAATAAATTTCATTAATCTGTCATGAATTTTATAAACACACTCATAAATACAACGAGTTTCAGCCAATTATCATTTGGACACTACACATAATTATTAAGATTTATGTATACGTGGGGGCTAGTTTTTGCCGGCAGAATTGTTGCTTAGGAGCGTCTCATTCATTACTTAGACTTATGTACCCTTCAATGGAAGTAATGTGGTAAATAGTGACGGTGGTAGTTTAGTCATGGTGGTCGCAATAGCGGAGGATTAACTCGGAGGTCAACGTGGCTTCCTCTCTTTAAATCGTCGGCTAATATAATTTTCTTATTTCCTAGCCCCAAATTGCTCTAACTTACTTGGAGCCCGTGAATTGGCCTCCCTTTATTGTTTGCAGGGTAAAAGCTACAACACTAATTATTATTTTATTTTCAAAAACTTAGTATTACATACATATTTAACCCTATTCAAAACTCTACGAGGAATCTATTGTGAAACATCATATCAACGCGTAAATGCCTACTATCTCGAAATTACAACTAAACATATAGGTATTTTTTAATATCACGAAACGATTGGGTTGTCCTATACGAATGTTTTAAAATTCTTAAAATCCCGAACACTGTTTATTTAAACGCGAAGAGTATAGGAAAAAATTGTTAGTTGTCCACTTTTGTCGATTTTGATTTGACATCTTATTAAGACTAGTAACAAGTGATAAAATCCATTCGATAAAAAATGTTTTTATATTGCCATTATAAAGAGCATCAATTTTTGTTTCATATTAAAATAATAAATATTCGCAAATTTATCTTTGATCTCCTTGAAAATATTTAAATGTAGACTACTATTGTTTTTTCTTTGTACCCTTAATATTTATATAGAATTTATTAAATACATTGTGTGTACTTAGATAACAACTTGTTATTGTAAAAAATATGTTTTTTTTTTATAAAAATTAAAATTTAGCATTAAAGTACAAAAATTGTATCCATCTACACCAAAGTAATGTTCACTAGGAACCCCACGAGACTAATTGATTTTTTATGACTCTCATAATCCCCTATTTTTAACATAAGGTTTTTTTCTATTAGTTAGAAGATTAACAACACCGGATAATTATAAAGCATCTTATACGTTTATTAATCTATCCGACAAACATCTACTTCCAAGCCTGTCACGTAATTCTTTGCACTGAAACGTGTCACATAATCTCTTAATGTATTCCTACAACGTGCTCGTATAACTGCGCAATAAAATATTTTTATAATTACAAAAAAACTAGAACTGTAATAGAATTTGTCTGCAATTGTATTACAGACAAATTTTAGATTTTCATTTTCTATTAAATCTTCAAAATCGCAAACCACTCAAATACTAATGAAATATGCATCCATTTCTTAATATTATTGTTTACTCTTAGTTTTTATGAGCGCTAAATATGATAAATTAACTTAATTTTGTTTCCGAGTAAATAAAATCCTTATTCGTATTATCGTGTCTAATAATTTGATGTTATCAAAACACGTAGTAAATAATTGATTTTTCATAAGTAAATAACGATATTAGAATTATGCGTAACTGTGTACTATATCAAATAGAACATATTAACTTTGCGTTAATAAATAAAGGTACCTATCAGACGCGTGAAACGATAGCAATTAACACATGTAAGAGACTGTTATTTGTGTGTTTTGTTTGTCGTACACCATAATGAATATGCACGAGGGGTATGTGTACACACAGAATTCAACGTACGGTGTCGACGATGTGTAAAATAATTTCTCATATGAGCCTGTGAACACAGTCGTCGGCACTATAGGGAGCCTTTGATAGAATTGCAAAAAGTCTCAGCCGGTTAAACACTGCGTTTTGCAAAGATTTTATCGTCAAAAGTTTTATTGAATGTGCGGAACAGATTAAAATTTTTTAAAGAGTCCCGACGAAATTGATGAATGTAAACATGGCGATAAATCAGAAATTACTCATTTTTTTACATAAAACATCGGTGCTGTGTCTATCTCGTACAAACGAGGATCATTTATTGAACAATGTGAACACGCGTTGTATGTTTCTCGTTAAAAATTACTCGTATAAAATTGCGATAAACAGTTGACAACTTTTATTGGCTATGGGGTTGGTTCTACAATCATAAATAAATTCTACAATTTCCACAAAAAACTTGTATGNTGGGGTTGGTTCTACAATCATAAATAAATTCTACAATTTCCACAAAAAACTTGTATGCATTTACTGTGTATTTGATTCTTATATAATAAATGATCTTAAAAGTTCGATGAACTTACGGCATTAGTGACTTCAGTCAACGTTTACACTTCTAAAACTATATTTTCGGTGGTGCGTCATTTTAAAAAATGATTATTCGAAAAAACGAAGGAATTTTCGAGAAATACCTCGAAAAAAATGTTCTATTTATCTGAAAAATTGCGCTACTTTATGTTTAGAAATCATTGTCGTTTATTTGATGTTTCTTTTTAGCCTTAAAATAACATAAGTTATTTGTATACGGAACACGCTTGCTGTGAGAAAAATACAATTTTTCTAAGGGCCGTTAAAACAAAAAAGAACTACTAATAAAAGCGCACAAATAGAAAACAAGAACTACTACCGTTTTTAAGGTATTACATATAAATTCATTTTATAAGATGGACAAGAAGGTTTCTTATTGCCGCTGCGTGCCCATTACGCGTTTACGACTTCATCACGGTCCGAAGATTCCGAAAATTGAAACGACAAAATAGAAAACAATTTCCGCGCTAAGCTTTTTTCGTGTAACGATATTACACTGACACTCAAGTGCCGCAATCTCGTTGTATAGAATGTTACCGACCAAAAGTATTGCACGAGGGAAAAATTGAATTCATGATTCTCAAGTCCAGAAGAGATTATCTGTTGGCCAAACGACCCATTCCAACTTTTTTATCATCCCAAGAATCCCTTTGGCCCGTTTTTATTTCAGTTCCATGTTTTTTTATTACGATTTCTAACGCCAAATCGCGTGATGGAATAAAGTTCTGTTAGACGTCTTGTCAAGTGTAACTGCAAATTTTAACATTGACTTAAGCTGAAAAGATTTCGCCAGACAGATTTCACTGATATCAATTGCCTATTTTTTTATACAAAAGTTAATTTCATCGTTATTGACATATTTTAATAAAAAAATATAAATAATGTCTATTATTAAAAATACTACAATTTAAAAGTCCTTCAGTTTTTTCACTTATAAAATTAGAAAGATTTCACGAGGAAGAATTTAAGTCAATAGTTTTGGCTAATATGTGAATCTAATAGGCAATTCTAGGATAATGTCAGTTCTGATGAATAAATGTTTTATCTTAAGTTTCGCACCTTTTGGGGAGCCAAAATATTTGGAAAAAATAAAATCCACAGGAGGAATATATTTTCATAAAATCACTACATCATTTATTAAATAACGACTTCAATTTTTTGTTTTTATCACATTTTAAAAAGTAAATTTACAAAGATTTTCATAACTCGTATTCATTTTTTTTCATCATTAAATAACTACTACAATAATTAGTAATAATTTTAATATACTTCATGAAATTGTGTTTAACAAAATATTTTTTAACTTTTCAAAGTCACCCAAAAACAATTAATATTTCTCTTATATTACTACTGCTACAAAAAGTTTAAAGTTGTAGTCTAACAAAATAGAGTAGTAAAAATCATATTTGACTAACTTTTTACAGTATTTTCTATTTAATTTTTACCCAAAAACGCCATATTTTTATATAAAATACCTAAAATATAATTATAATTCTAAAAAACAGTAGCACAGTGCGGTAGCGGCACAGAATGGAGGTGTTATAGTTGGGACAAGTATAGATGATATCTGACAGTGATTAAAATCACTATCTTAAAAAACGCTTCGATACAAGTCTGTAGATAGTGTTTAATTTTAAGAAATTGGTAGATTATTTCAAAAACAACAATAACT